AAGGAATATGCCCGCCTTTCTGCGCCTGGGCTACTTTTGCCTTACCCATGCCAAAGCGACTGGGGTTTTTAGTTGCCCATGCCAAAGCAACTAGGTCTTAGTGAGCCCATGCCGAACAGGCAACTAGGTCTTAGGCAGCCTATGCTGAAGAGGCAAATAGGACTTCTCTGCCCATGCCAAAGAGGCGACTGGGTATTATATTATGCCGAGGTCTCTTATCAGCTCGACACCATAACCCTTAGGCTTCTGGGAATGACTTGGGGGTCCTCTCTCTAGTTCTTCGTCCTTAAGATCTGCTCGGTGATCTTGTGGACAGTTTATTTTCAATTGCGATAGGGTTTCATAGATAGTATCTCCTTAGGTTGTCAACATTCCAAGCTTGAATTACCTGTTTTCCTTCCATGGTCTTGAGCTCGTAGGTTCCTTCTCCGAACACTCGTCTCACTCGGTATGGACCTTCCCAGTTCGGACCAAGCTTACCCATGCCAGGCTCAAGTACCATTATCTTATAGAGGACCAAGTCGCCAACTCATAATAGTCGCTTGCTGACCCGGGCTTATAATACCGAGCTACTCATTTTTGGTAAGCCGCGGTTCGAATGTGGGCTAGGTCGCGCACTTCTTCAACCAGGTCTAAGTTAGTCCAGAGCTCATCATTGTTTGCCTCTTCATCGTATGCTTCGAGCCACAACGTTGGTACTTCAATCTCTGTMTGAATCACAGCTTCTGTCCCGTATGTGAGGTTGAAGGGTGTTTCGCCAGTCGTAGTCTTGATGGTAGTCCGATAGGCCCAAAGGACTCTGGGCAGCTCGTCTACCCACAACCCTTTAGCTTGCACAAGGCGAGCTTTCAGTCTGCAGAGGATAGCCCTATTCGTCACTTCAGCATGTCCATTTGCTTGCAGGTGTGCTACCAAAGTGAAATTTTGCTAAATCCCCATCTCGGCACACCAGTTCTGGAATTTAATGTCCTCGAATTGCTTCCCATTATCCGAGATCAAAACTCTAGGCAGTCCGAAATGTCACACAATGTTTTTTCAAAAGAAAGTTTGCATGTTCCAGGCTATGATGCTTACCAATGGTTCGGCCTCCACCCACTTCGTGAAGTAGTCGACTACCACGACCAGGAACTTCCTCTGCCTGGTTGCCGACAGAAATGGGCCAAGGATATCGATTCCCCACTATGTAAAGGGCCATGGACTAGTCAAGCACTTCAAATCGATGGCAAACTGAGGGAGGATGTTGGCATGCCTCTGACATCTATCACATTTCTTGACGAGCTCGAGTGCATCTGCCTTCATAGTGGGCCAACAGTAGCCCTGCCTTAATGCCTTCTGGGCGAGCGCTTTGCCCCCCAAGTGTCCTCCGCATAACCCTTCATGGATATTGCGAAGTACGAACCCAGCTTCTGAGGGTCGTAGACAACATAGGTAGGGGAGCGTGAAGGACCTCCTGTACAACCGTTCGTCTATAAGGACGTACCAAGCTGATTGACGCTCTATCCTCCGAGCTACATTGTGTTCTGTCGGTAGGGTCCCATGGAGCAGATAATCAACAAGCGGGTCAATCTAGCTCGATTCCGCTTGCAACACGGGAGCGACCTCTTCTACCCCTCGAGATTGCTAGGTCGAGCAAGTCCTCTTTGTACATAGTTCGCATGGTGTTGTCGCTAGTACTTGCTAGTTGTGACAAGGCGTCGACCTCAGCGTTCTCGGACCTCGGCATTTGCCTAATGAAACAAGAGCTAAAGCCTGGTAGGATCACCCTGACTTTGGATAAGTAGGCCGCCATAGTTGAGTCACGAGCTTCGTAGTCACCATTGACTTGGTTAACTACCAGCTGTGAGTTGCTGCACACGATGAGATGTTTTGTCCCCATTTCCTTCGCTAAGTTTAGCTTGGCAATTAGTGCTTCATACTCCGCCTTGTTGTCCGATGCCTCGAATCTGAACCAGAGAGCACACTCCAGCTTCACCTCGCTCGGGCCGAACAGTATCAGTCCAGCACCGCTTCCTCGCTGGTTGGACGAGCCGTCTACATGGAGGATCCAGGGCTCCTCACCCTAGGTCGATACTGCTCTGACCGAGACCGATGCTGCGCTGGTTGACGCCTCTGACACGCTAATAGGCTCAGTCGATTCAGGGGCCGGCATGCTGAACGTGCATTCTACTGTGAAGTCTGCCAAAACTTGGGCTTTGATCGCTGGCCATGGCTCGAACCGGATGTCGTACTCGCTCAACTCGATGGACCACTTCGCCAACCTCCCTGACACCTTGAGCTTAAGTAAGATGTGCATTAGAGGTCTATAGTAAGGACAACGATGGTATGGGCTTGGAAGTATGGGCGCAATTTCCGAGCTGCTACTAGTAGCGTGTACTCTAGATTTTCGATGTCAGGATATCTGGTTTTCGCATCCTACAAAACTTTACTTATGTAGTAGACTGGTCGTTGGACCCGGTCTACTTCTCTGATCAGTACCGAGCTAACCACCTCATCACTCGCGGAGAGGTACAACTTCAATTCATCTCCTTCCTCAGGTCGGGTTAATACCGGGGTGGTACTTAGGTACCTTTTTAGCTCATCAAATGTGAGTTGGCACTCTTCGGTCCATTCAAATTTTTTATTCTTTTTTATTGCCTTAAAAATGGGTAAGCACTGACCTGCTGGTTTAGACATAAACCAGTTTAGGGCAACTATCCGACCAGTTAGCTGTTGGACTTCCTTGATTTTTTAGGGCGGTCACATATCTAAAATAGCCTTAATTTTATCCGAATTAGCTTCGATGCCACATCGGTTCACTATGTAACCGAGGAACTTGCCCGACATGACCCCGAAGACACACTTGTTTGGGTTTAGCTTCATACTATACTTCCTTAAAATTTGGAAAATAGAATTTTAATCATCGATTAAAAATCTAGAAAATTGGGTCTTCACAACCATGTTGTCAACATAACACTCTACTTTATTGCCAATCAAAGGCTCAAAAATTTTGTTTACAAGTCGCTGGAAAGTTGCTCCAGCATTTTTCAAACCAAAGGGCATGACTTTATATCAGTACAACTCGAGTTCGGTTATAAAAGAAGTTTTATCCTGGTCGGCTATTTCCATCCTAATTTGGTTGTAACCAGAATAGGCGTCCATGAAACTCATCAACTCATGGCCTGAGGTTGCATCTACCAGGCGATCTATTCTAGGCAGGGGGAAGCAATTCTTCGGGCAGGCTTTGTTCAGGTCGGTGTAGTTGACGCACATGCACCACTTGTCGTTGGCTTTCTTCACCAACATGAGCTTGGCGACCCAGCTCGGGCAATGTACCTCCCAGACGAAGTTTGCGGCGAGGAGCTTCCTGACCTCCTCATCGACTACCCCCCACCGCCCCAGGGCAAGGTTGCGTTTCCTTTGTCAAAATAGCCTGACTAAAGGGTCCACATTTAGTCTATAAGTTATTACACTAGGGTTGATTCCGAGCATTTATGTCACGGACCAGGTGAAAACATCTAAATTTTTTAGTAAGAAACTTACTAGTGAAGGGATGGGAGATCCATCATATGGATGGCCGAACCCTATAGGAAGGTTGGGCGAAATTTCAAAAATTTCTTTTTCTCCTATCCGGGAATTGTATTTCCTAATTTAGAAAAGTGCATTTTCAAGGTTCGTTCTTGAATCAAAACCAGACCAGATCTGAAACCAAAAGGGAAGAGAGGGGTATACCTGATACGAAGTAACAGTAACTCCCAACATACGTGTTCACGCCCAAAGAGAAGTCCAAAACCCGCCTCCACTGAAGATGACACAGCATATGGTGAGGTAGGATCAACAGGGTGGTTCTTCAGCAAGAACATGAATTCTTCAATAAGAATCGAATAAGGGCTGGTGAGCACAACTTTAGATTGTTTCTTCTAGCAAGAAACAATATCAAGAACCATTCTTGATCAGCTCCACAAGTGGAAATCGAACTGGGTAGGGGCGGCAAGAACCGGGGAGAATTCTGCAGGTTATTGAGTGTGTCTGAACTGAGGAATTCGCCCCCCTATTTATAGCTTTCTTTGGATTAGCCTCCTAATCCAATTAGGAGAGAATTTCTTGATCCAAATCTATCCAACGACTGTGAAGATTCTAAACTAAAACGAGTCTCATAAATGCCCAGTTTAAGGGTATTACAAAGAAACACACCAATATAAAATGAATCAATTATGCACTTTATTCATGACAATACGTACATCAATCTGATTGGAGCTAAGGGCATACACTATCTAACAGCTCCCACTTGCACTTAGGTCCAATCAGGTATAAGCTGGAGTCCCAAACTGTCCATGTGTTTCTCAAACACTTTCTGTGTCAATGGCTTAGTTCGGGGTCCTCGGTCCGTGTAGATGAGATCCGTTCTGCTTTAAAGGAGAGTAACGTACCAACCAATGAAGTCTATCGTTACCGTCCGATCCAGTCAGGGAGAGGATAAGGGTTGCCATTACCGGCGTGATTCCAGGAGATTCGGAATCTGCTGAGAAGCTTCTAGAGTTAATTATGTGTCACTTCGGTACTCGGGTGCTGAAGTGGCTTTGGTGCCGAGGTGCCTGAACTCCCGAACTATTGACAAGGCTCCCCTTACTGAGTTGTCATCCTATTGACAGGTCGTGTCTATGTATCCTTTACTTGCTAGGTCAGGCCAAATCACCTCTCGTCAGTTCCCATTGTGTGTCGGTTGGTTCTTCCATTTCCATAAAATTCAACATTAACTGCCATTGCTGCTAGGTTCACTTAAATGACTTATTTAGGAGTTGATATTAATTTAAATGTGGCTATTTTTAGGAGTCATTGGTGTCTGTTTATCTTATGCCACTTTTGAGACGATCTATTCACAGAATCTAGAAAACCATGTATGTTGCTGCTAGATTCACTTGAAACGACTACATATAAGAGAGCCTGCGTAGTCTCTATCATTTCATTGTTCTCCTTCGCTATATATTTTTGGTCCACTAACCAATTATGTTCTGCAAATCCAGGTTTGTATTGGGCATTTATATAACAGATGGCAGGCAAGAGAAGGAAGAGTTGATTTTTCATCTCCTTGGAATCTCATTTATGAAGATTGTAGTATTTTTGTTCTTTATTTTATAAATCTGTTTCTAGAAGGTGCTCCAGAAAGCTTTAGAATTTCCGAGGGCTACTCTTACTTCATAAGTTATTGTTTCTCTCCCTTAAGTTTTGCTAAAAAGGCAAAGCTATGTTGTCAAGAGATTGGTGATTATGCAGTTTGCTAAAGATGAAGGAAAATCGGTTTACTTCCATAGGCCCAGAAAGCTTCTGCAATAGAATCCAATCATTCTGCCAGTGAAGTTTACTTGTTGGGTGCATGAGTCCTCCCCTATTCCATATAATTTTACATTGTTGGCCTAGAAAATTGCCTATCATCGACATGATCTTGGCATAACCAGCTATGTTAGTTAAATACACCCATGTTGGTTGGTTTTAGACATGGATATGAAGTTCAAATTTGGAGTGGTTGGATGAAAGATATGCTATCCAAATTAGGGCTGTCAATGGGTCAGTTCTACCGGATCGATTTAATCAGTTCTAATTTTATGAGTTTGTCCCAATTAATAATTGGATCAGTTCTAGTTCTTGCTTGTTGTGAATCAATTGTTTTGTTAATATTATATAAAGGTTTTTTAATTTTTATTATATTTTATGTCTAAAAGGGTAGATTTGATAGATAATATATACAATAATTTTGGTTAAAAACACTTGATTTATTAATATATATATATATATATATATATATATATAATTTACTATTTTATAATCATTTTTATTAAGGTTAAATTATCAAAAAACAAGTTTTAAATTGTTATTTACATAAATAATTAATTATAGATGTCAGTATAATTGGGTTTAATGAGGTCAGACACAATTATTCTGAATAATAATTAGGACAATTCTGAGTCTATGATTTTGTCCCAATGAATAATCAATCGATATAAGTAAAAGCTATCATGAACTAGACCCGATACATAGACAGCCTTAATCCAAATGGATGCTCAAATTTTTAGGGCAGGGGGGGG